GAACTCTCATCACCATTGATGAACAAGAGTTACATTCAACTTTTGGACTTCCTATATCTAGTCCAGAACAACCACTGTTGGACTTAGATATACACACATTTGATCACACGGAAGTTTGGGCAGAAATTCGAAATGAGAATGCATTTCTCGAACCCAACCTATCCGGCCACAAATCTGATTTGAAGCTAGAATATGAAATGCTTGTAAAATTCATCTACAAATGTATTCTATGCAAACTGAATAGTATGGAGGACATATCACCTACGAGAATTGGATATATGCACGCCTTGATGAATGATGTTAAAGGAGACTGGAACAGGCTTATATTGAGCAGGATTGCACATTTTGTGAAAGGTGCAAAAATTAGGAATGTCAGGTTCAATCACATTCTAGGGTTCGGGTTACTTATTGGAGAAATCATCAAAAGAAAAGGATTGCCAATGAGGTCTAGAAAGCCATTTGGAAATAACCGGATTCTATTTAAAGACCATGAAGTGTCAACCGAGTTGAATTTCAAACGAAAGAGAAAACCGAGAGGTACTCCTGCTAGGAAAAGGCCCGTAGCAGAAATCCTTGGCTTCAATCCTCAACCCACAACCCAACCTCTTGAAAATCCTGCCTCTAGTCACGAACCAAATTCAAGCCAAAATCCTACCACAAGCCAAAATCCCACCATAAGTCACAATCCTACCTCACACCTTAATCCCAACACAAGCCAAAATATCTTGAACCCTCTTTCCCGAATAGCTGAATTAGAGACAGTGATGAATGAGGAGATATATCAAGTTGATGGACTTGATTTGATCTTGGTGAATGAATATCAAAAAGTTCTCAATTGGAGAGGTTGGAGACTTGGCTCTTATCAAGAGTTGATGACAAGAGGACCAAGTATGAAAGAAGAAGAAGCATTTTCTTTAAATTGGATTGGCAGTTTAGATGTTGGCCATGCAACATTGATTTCTACTGTAAATGGAGTATTTGTGAGTAAACTGAAAGCCAAGTTGGCCGAGACTTTTCATGATAACACAGTCCAAGGAAATATGCCAACTGAAGATGATTTTTTAGTTGACATTGATGAGTTTGATCAATCTATTGAGGTTATTAGAAACGAAGAAGGAAATGTTACACATGGTGTACATCCACACTTGATGGACAGTGGACTATATGATGTTAGTGTGTTGAATCAAACCGAAATTAGTCAAGAACATCATGCCATGCAAGACAGCCATCACACGGATGAAATTCAATCAATTCATGCAGAAAGTATGCAAGGTGACACACACGTGTTACACACGCCAGAAGAAGAGGGGAATGTGCTAGAAAATCAAGAACATCTCACATGCTTGGAGATAATTCTACTCAAGAAGGAGCAAGATGTATTCCCGCAACCCAAGAAGAGCAAAATCTTGATGGCACAACCTCAAATGCACAATTGAAAAATCTGGAAAGTGTTGTACTAAGCCTAGTTAACGAATGGAGAGTATGATTCAAGGCATCTACACTCATGTGGATCATGTTGTCAATACTCAAGGAGGAAAATTCGAAACTTCATTTGATGAAAACCGGAGGAGTCAACAACACTTGATTGACACACATCAAGCACTTGAGAGACAAGTTGGTGGATTGCATACAAATGTCAAAGGACAACTCAATGAGTTCTATATCCAACTATCTCAAATCCTCAAAAATGCTGGAAAAGCCAATGAAGCAATTGCCGTGAATCAAAGTCAAGGAATTCTTAATGTGGTTCATCAACATGAGAAGCAGATTAGTGATGTCCACACAGATCTCATCTCCATCAACACCAAAGTAGGCTGTCTTCGAGGTTCATATGAAAACATCTCCGAATATGTTTCATCTCTTTGAGAGTCAGTTTATACACTCATTGATTTCGCCAAAAAGGGGGAAGAGAGATTCAGTCATTTGGAAGGTATGCTGGAAATGATCATGACTGCCATGGCTACAAGAAATGTTGGTACAAGCAGTAGTAGAGGAGGAGGCAGATCTGCTGGCAGAAGCAATATGGCAAGAAGAGGAGGAATGGAATACTGGTTCGGTGGTGATGCTGGCAGTCCAGGAGGATCAAACAGTGCAAATACCACTAACCGATCATTTTGTAATATTGTCTGTGCAGGTGGAAATGTTGAGCAAATCAATTAGTACAACAAAGCAGCTCTCTATTTGGAATCCACACCAAGAGATGGTAGAGTTGAAATGCCAAGATTGGAAACCTTGAATGACCTACCAAAGGGAATGAAGAAGAGTGGTCCAAGTGACCAAAACTTGTGGGTTTCGAATGAGAATTTCAGGGGGATCAAAAGCTATGCAAGAGCTTTGATGATCATGGTGCTTAAAGACTATATCAAAGTCAATGATGCCGAGCTTCAAGGAGATAGAAGTCTAGAAGAGTGCATCATATGGTATGAAGAAGGTATACTGCCCGGGAACAACATCATTGAAGCATTCAACTATTATGTGATTAGGCAGGTATGCAACAATTATGCCATTAGTGACAATTTCATTGAAGTTCAAAATCATATTAATCATGTGCTAGAAGAAAGGAAAAACAGAATCATCAAGTGATTTGTATGATTATTGTCACAATGTTTTTTGAATGGTCTACGAACTCATGATCATGGAACAATTTGCAATGATTCGAATTATCTGTTTATGATGCTATTAAGTTTTCCTTTTTTATCTATTGATATTTTATTTTTCTTGAAAGGTAATATTTTTAGCTTAGATTGTATCAAATCGCATAAATTGGAAAATTACAAAATTTCGTTATCATTAAAATCCAAAAATGCGAATAGGAACTTAGTTGCTAAGAATACCTTTCCTAGAGTCAAAATCAAATGTTAAACTCGTCATGGCTATGTTAATAGTTAATAAAATCTTTTAAAAGAATTTTTTTTTTAAAAAAGGCAAGCCGAATGACTGAGTATAGGTTTTGGCATCATCAAAAAGGGGGAAAATTGATAGGAATATTTTTGTAAGTTTTGATGAGTCAAATGTACTTTAGATCCCCTTAGTTTTTAGGTCTTTTAGTACAAACATCATAAATCAGAATATCGAGTCAGAAGGAATCTACCATATGAAGAACAAAATTAATTTGGGAAATTAATTTTGGTCCTACGAGTATTCATCCGAGAAAGAAGCATAAAGGAATGGCGTTGCAAAAAATGACTAGATGAGCCTAACGGCGAAATGGTAGAAGTCCTTACTTAAAATGATCATACCCGAGATTGATCCCCCCCCCCCCCAAAGACTTATTTTTACAAGTCAAGAATTCGGACAAACACAATGCTTTTAAAGGAGCTCGATGCGGACAAGCACAATGTTCTCAAAGGAGCACAATGTCCCTAACAAGCACAATGTGTACAAGCAAGATATGCCAAAGGAGCACAATGTCTTTAAACAAGCACGATGTGTCCAAAGGAGCACAATGTGAACAAGTGCAATGTGTCCAAAAGAGCACAATGTGACCAAATCAGAGAAGCACAATGTTCAAGTCAAACAAGCAAGAAGTGCCTAAATCAAAGGAGCACAATGTGGCAAAGAAGCAAGATGATCTGAAAATGGATAAATTCGAAGGAATTTATTTTGAATCAGCCCACATGCCACAAGAATCCAAAATTGCCTGAAGATATTGATCAGAACGGAAAAAATATTTATGAAGACATGAATATAAAAACTTATCCTAGAAATAAATTCTATCAGAAGAATTTATTTCAAAGATTCGTTGGAAATTCAAATTGACAACAAAAATAATATTTTAAGAAACAACTTGAAAATCAAGTTGAGATAAAATATTATTTTGTCAGGCAAGTTGACAATCAAATCAAAATTGAAGATCTACTATTGTCAACAATATCAGGCTATGAAGATTCAAATTTCAAATATCAAATTATCCCACTCCAACGGATATATTTGATTGCCTATAAAAAGCCATGAAGACTTGAAGAAATATAGAGGTGAATACAAAAAATACGAACAAGTGAATACACACGAGATAAGAAGCGCAAGTGTTCAAATATTCTTAGAGACTTTGTCTGAATACCCTCAAAACTAGTTGGAGAGAGATACAATTACCTTTGTATTTGGAATTGTTAGAAGAGTATAGCTGTGTGCAAAATACTCTTGTGAGTGTAGCTGTGTGCAAAACACTCGTAGTTGCTAAGTGTAGCTATGTGCAAGACACTTAGTTGGCGTTGAGTATAGCTGTGTGCGAAATACTCGGAGTTGAGTGTAGCTGTGTGCGAGACACTCGGAGTTGGGTGTAGCTGTGTGCAAGACATCCGGAAGAAGTGCTTGTGTAGCACTTATTCACTATTGTAACTGTGTGTGGACAATAGTGAATTACTCCTAGAAGTGAATGGAGTAAAGTGGACTAGGAAGATTACGCCACTTCCAAACCACTATAAATTGTCTCTCTCATTTACATACCGCACTTACATAATTTGCTCTATTTGTGACACCCGATATTTTCCTAAAAATAAATTATAGTCCCGATTTAGTAAAAATATTTATATAAGCTAATTAATTTAAAATTTGGACTCGGGTCTACCTATTATTGTGAACCGACATTTTTGTGCCCAAATGCCTTAAGCCCGAATATGTATTTATTTATTATATGAACCCAAGCTAGTTAAGTCCATATGTTTGTATAAATATATATGTTATATTTATGTTGTGAGCCCAAGATGTTTGGACTAAAATAAACATTTAGAAATACCCAACCCAAGTCTTTGACCCAAGTCTAGCCTAGCCCACCTTCTAAATAAAGTAACCCTACTATCTAGGGTGTGTACGTATGTATTGTATGATTTGTATCATCATGCTTCCCTTGAAATCAGCCGTGTATCTCTTCCCCTCCTCGGCCTAGCTACAATGGCTATAACGCCATAAACTCTCCAAGCCAACAACTACCTTCTTCACCTTCCATTTAGACCAAACGAACCACCCTCTATGTATCTCCTTTTTTCCCTTCCGGCTTGTCTCTCCCTCAAGCTCAAAAGAAGAGCAGTTGCGTCGCCTCTCTCTCTCTCGTTGATGGCAGTGCAACAACCAAGCGGCGGCGACAGCTTCCGGCGGCGGGATGATCGACAGTGGTGTCTACAGTAGTCTCCTCCGGCGACCTTGGTGAGCAGCGGCAACTCTTCCCCTGTTTTCCGGCAGTTTGTGGCGTCAGGCAGTGCGCAGTTTTGGCGGTGTACAAAGCTGACGGTAGGGATAGCGTCGGCGGTGGTGGGTGATCTTTTCCCGGCGAAGCTGGTGGCAGAACGTGGATGTCGTCTTGGCTTGGTGGCTTCGGCACACCGGCGGGTGGAGGAAACGCCCGTGGTTCCACCCTCTGTTTCCCAGCATGAAGAAGACGAAGAAGGATGGTGAGCTCCAGTTCTTTTGTGTTTTGTGGTTTAGTTTGGTTTATTAGAATTAAGGAGGGTTTTGTTAATAAAACGGTAATTAGTGTAGTGGTAAGATGCATGTTTAGCTATCTAGTTGGCCTTGGTTCGAATCCCTCTTAGCTTTAAATAGTTTTATTAAGGAAACCATGATTATTGGCTTATTAATTAGTGCTTTAATGTTGGGAATAATTATTAATAGGGTGGTATTAATTCTAAGGAAAAACTAGGGTTCAAATCTCCTTATGAGCTTATTAGTTTTAATTAGTACGTTTGTTGATAGTTGAGGATCGGTTTGATTCACAGGTTCCCGTTTGGCTTATGAGTTGAGCCTAGCCTTTGTTGGAGTTGTTTTTGGTTGGATAAGCGATTGAGGTAACACAGGCTCTACAAAACCTATTTTGCTTACCTATTTGTGATTTCTTGGATTCTACTTGTGTTTTGCTATGAAATGTGAGTGTTTATGCATTTGTCTTGTGAAAATGCATATCTAGAGCTTGTGTTTAGGGTTCTTGTGTGCCATTGCTTGGCATTTCCTTTGATTCAAGTCATTTTGTTGTATTGGGTGAGATTTGACATGTTTTGGACTTGAATTTGAGCTTGGAGTTGAAAATCCCCGAAGGGATTATTTTTGGACACAGGGATGTACCCGCGGGCGGAACGACAGGCAGAGCCCTACCCGCCACCCACCCGCAGGTACATGGCCTCGTGGGTAGTGTACCCGCGGGCGGAACCACGGGTAGGGGCCTATCCGTGGGTCCACCCGCGGGGAACACTTCGGTGTTATGATGGGATTTGTTCCCCGTGATTCTTTTGACTCGGTATTTGGTCTTTTGACTTCCCGATGTTCTTTTGTGGAACTATTTGAGTTTCTTCTTGATGTTTCGTATATCTAGAACTATGTGGTAGGTATCCCTGTAGGTCTTTGGTGTCTTGAATCGTGCTAAGTGTTCAACATTGTGATTCGTTGAACCGTGATGTGTCTTGTGTGTTCTTCGGAACTACCTTTGGTTTATCCGTTTGATAAGCATGCTAGTTTGGTGTCTAAATGCTAGCATGTGTGTTGTTTGTACCTTCCGATTGGTTGATGATAACTTTTGTTATTCATCGTTGCTGTTGTTGGGTTGTGACCCATTCCTTGATTGAGTGTGTTTCATACCTTCGTTGTGATCCGTTGATTGATTCCTGTTGAGGTGTGGTGTGTGTGGCTTTACCTGGATTGCACGATTAGTGGTATGGGACACTAGTCACCAAGGTATTGCAGCGGTCCTCGTGGTGGCCGTGATGTGATTATGGAGTTGTGACCTGTGTGTCAGGTTCACGTATTTCTTGGGAAGGCGTGTGTCGCCGTGTGTGTGTACGGTACCTTGTGTATTATGAAATTGGTGGTCTCGTTGGTGGGGGACGACTGTCCCAAGAGGGAAAAGGTTGGACTAAGAAGTACAGGGGTCCTGGAGGTAATGGTTGGAAAGAAGAAACAAGGTTGGGGGTAGCCATAAGGTTGGAACTGGGCATAAGGCAGGCATACCAACTCGTGATGGGTGATATCGCGAGGGCTATTATAGCCGGTGTTGTGTGTTCTTCTCTTGTGACGTGTGTAGTCGCAGAGGCATGTGCTGTCGGGTGTGTAAGTCTTATTCTTTTGCGTTGTACTTGTCGGGTTTTGATCTATTGAGTGATGATAGATCATGCCTTGACTCTTTTGTCAGTCGTGTTGTTCTTGTGGTCTTGGGATGTGTTCCCGTGTTGATTGTTGAGAGTGTTGAGTCTTATGTTGGCTTCGACTCTTGATTTTACACTTATATATATGTATTTCGTTTCGAAATGATTTTGTATATATATATATATATATATATATATATATATATATATATATATATATATATATATCCTATCTATGTATGATACTTAACAGGTATTGGTAGGTTACCAGCATTATTCGCTGACCGGGCGTCGTCCCATTTCTATTTGTTGCTTTACAGGTTGGGTAGCCTTGGAGAGCGCGCTAGTGGCCTGTAGATAGTGTTATCTCTTCCTGTATTAGTTGTTGAGGCCTGTGAGCCTATGTGGTTGAGTTGTTAGACTGTTGTAGTTGTAGTATCTGCCTGTGCACCTATGTTTGATATAGGTGTGGCATAGCATCTCCCGGTTGATGTAGTTAGCTTCCGCTTCTCTTATGTTGATGTTTAGACCGTTAATCCCTTTAAATTAAGTTTTAAAAATTGTTGAATTTCGGGGGTGTTACACTATTTATCTATCTTATCCGACTAACCCGTTTACTATTCACAGTTAATCTTAATCATTCGGGTTTAGTGTGTTTTCACGTATGCATGTGACTCAAACTTCTCAAGCTTAAATACTGACTTATTCTAAGCAAGTTTGACATGTTACATGTAACATTCGTCATACGGTCGACGTGATACGATATCTTATTTATAGTCTTGAACATTATTGTTACATATTGAGTGAACCATCTCCTTTAAATATTCAAGATATCCACTTCATCCTCTCACCTCATTTAAACTTGCTATACACGTGCATGTAATTCAAATTATCAATTGCGCATAACTCTTTACACTTATTTATTCCGCTGTGCAGTTCAAACTCACTCTATTTTACTTGTTACTTAGAGTTGAAGTTACCAAAGAGTTATTTGTTTTGAAAAAGCTTGAAAGTCTATTCACCCCCCCCCCCACCCCTCCTCTTGACTTTCACCACCCTATCGGGACCAACATACCTCTCATCTCTTCACTGTTGATTCGCAGGCTCTATAAGGAAGGAATCAAAATGGAATCAAGAAATCCCTCCTCTAAGATGACCTACGCTCAAGCTACCCGCTCCAAGGCATCATCCGTGGCTTGTTCTGGTGACAATCAAGATGTTGAAGGAGCAATGACTCGGAGGCGAGTGAGGAACCTAGGAGTGCAGCTGCACGGGGCCCAAAACATCGCTCGCCACATCGTTCGAAGGATTGACAGAAGCTTCACCATGTCACGAAGAGCTATACGTAACAAGGGGTCATCCGCTACAATGGGGGTTGTTGGCAACAAGAATGCTACAAGCGAAGGAGCTCCCTACAACAAGAGTCCTACGAGCCCTATTCCCTCGAATAAAACCCCAAGCAGTGGAAGCTCATCACAGTCATCACCTCTGCAGAGAACATCATCGGAATGGACTCACATCTACACAATCATGCCCGCTATGACAACAAACGCAGCTTCGGTGGAGGAACAACTAGCAAACATCACCAAAGCTCTTGAGGGGATAACTACGTTCATGCATAACCAAGAAAGGAGAATCAATGAGCTCAGTGAAAAGGTTGAAAGCGGAAGAAACGGCGAACCAAGTCGAGCTTCCGGGAAGCAGCATCAAACCCATGGAGATGAGATTGATGTCGAGTCACCGCGTCATCAAAGTAGGCCAGGAATGGAAGAGACAATCTCTCTTCCACCACCCGCTGAGAAGAGTATTCCAATTTTTGAGGGCATGATACCTGTCGAGCAGTTGAATAATTACATCATGGGAGCGATTAAAGGGAAGCTCGATGGAGGACAATCTTCATACACTTACACTAAGCCATATACTCAGAGAATTGAAGAAATGAAGATGCCGCTGGGCTACCAACCTCCCAAGTTCCAACAGTTTCATGGAAAAGGCAACCCAAGGCATCACATCACCCACTTTGTTGAAACTTGCAATGATGCTGGAACATACGGAGATCTCCTCGTCAAGCAATTCGTCCGCTCTCTAAAGGGCACTGCCTTCGATTGGTACACTGACTTGGAGCATGGTTGCATTGACAGTTGGGACGATATGGAGCGCGAGTTCTTGACCCGCTTCTACAGCACAAGAAGGACTGTCAGTTTCTTAGAACTCACTACCACTCGCCAATGGAAGGGTGAACGTGCGGGCGCCTTAATCGAGAGATGGAGGGAGTTGTGCCTCAACTGTAAAGAACCGATATCACAGAGCTCTGCAATCGAAATGTGTATCCAAGGCGCGCACTTCGAGCTCTCTTACATCCTGCAGGGAATCAAACCCAAGACGTTTGAAGAATTATCCAGTCGTGCTCACGCATGGAGTTGAGTATCGAAGCCAAAGGAGGACTCAACATGTCAAGTATGCCTAGCTCATCAAAGGCACCTGCAAACCAAGATGTCAACGAAGGGACTAAGTTCTTTCCAAAGCTAGAGAAAAAAGATACGATGAACGTGATGACTGGACCAATGAGGGTTTTCACCAAAGTGGCTGAGAAGCCCAAGCCAAGATCATTCCCTGGCCCATCAAGGGGAGCTAGAAAAACAATTGTTGAAGAGTGGCAGGAGAAACAATATCCATTCTTGGATTTTGACGTTTCTCCTATGTTTGACGAGTTGCTGAAACTCAAATTAATTGAATTGCCTGAGATGAAGCCCCCCGAAGAAGCTTCTATGGTGGATGACCTCAACTATTGCAAATATCACCGTCTCCTCGACCACCCGATTGAAAAGTGCTTCGTTTTTAAAGATAGAGTCATGACACTTGCTCGAAATGGGAAGATAGAGCTTGCGGATGCTAGCGCAAGCACAAACCAAGTTTCATGTGAAAGGTTTGCTCCATTACTTATGGAAGATGAAGAGAAGAATGGGGGCAAGCAACATAAATGCACACTTCCATTTAGAGTAAAACATGCTGATGTTCAGTACTTAAAACCATCACAAGTTGATCCAGCTAGTCATATTAGACCATTAAAGAAAATGTCAAAGCAATGGGTTGAGAAGAAGTCGGTAAGGGACCCTGTCTATGACTCGAAGAAGAAAGGACTTCGCAACAAGCCACGGGCACCGGTTACCCTAGCTCAATACATGCCAAAGGGCTTTCGCCTGAGTAGAACAGACATTCTTGGAACTTGCTTGAATACCAATGAAGAACATGTTGAAGTGGGAGAATTTTCATTCCCCTTGATTGAAGGAAGCAACGAGGTCTACACTCGCAAAGCCGTGTCTTACAATACAGAGATAATTTTCAAAGATGAAGATCTATTGCTTGGTGGTACACCACATAATCGTCATTATTTAGAGAAGGCTATGCCCGCGAGCAAAGAATCAAGAGGATTTTGATTGATCAAGGATCGGCTGTAAACATTCTGTCACTCCGAACTATGAAAGAACCTGGCATCTCTATCGACGAGCTCTCTCAAAGTCGGTTAATGATTCAAGGATTTAATCAGGGTGGTCATAGGGCACTAGGTACCATCAGACTCGACCTCAGGGTTGGAACGTTGAACTCAAGTACACTATGTTATGTGATAGATACAAGGACGTCTTACAACTTGTTGTTAGGCCGACCTTGGATACATGAGAACGAAGTAGTGCCCTCATCCTAGCACCAATGCCTCATGTTTGAGAAAGGCGGTGCGATAGAAAAGGTTGTCGCCGATGAGACTCCATTCACCGAAGCGGAGTCGTACTTTGCCGATGCGAAGTTTTACTTGAAGAAACAAGCTGTTGTAGAAGAGGCTAGCCACGGCGATGTTGACACACCTCCTGATCCAAAGTGGAAAGGCAAACAAGTCGTAGACCAAGCTCATTGCGACAAGGAACTTGTTTTTCCACTTGCAAGAATTGAAACATTAAAAGTAGCTCCAGTTAAACCGCTTGAAGATGAAGCTCAAGTTGGGACAAGTCAAACGTTGCCCGCTAAGTGCACTGGCGGCTTTGACCCCAATGCCTATAAACTTCTATTCAAAGCAGGATATAATCCCAAAGAGCCACAAAAGTTGGGGAAACTCATCCCAGATGCCGGTGGTAAAGGCAAGTCAAACCAGCAGGAACCGCATGCATGCAAAGGATTGGGTTATGTTCTCCCTAAGCTAGTGCGAATATTCATAAATAGAGCCGCAAGTAATTGCATCACGTCTACTGATGAGGAGGAACACCATAAGAGGCAATCAGTCTTTGATAGGATTCGCGGGGTAGAACCACGACGGTCAGCCTTTCATAGGCTTGGGTCAAATCCCAATCCTGCTAAGAGGAAATCAATACATGACAGACTCGGAGCTGCTCAAGTTTTAAAAGAACACACCAACACTTCTATTGAAATAGAATCTTCAAAAAGGCTTAGAAGTATAGTTCTCTCTCGTATGAGACGAGAAGTTGATGTCCATGTTTCATGTAGCGAAGTCTTGAAGGTCCAACCAAAAACCATTATATACACCCGTGTGCAAGAAGGAAAAGAAGAAAACCTTGATCCAAGTTATGGAGTGACACCAACCCAAGATGAGGTGGCGTCTTCATTCCACATTAATTGATGAGATCCTGGTTGCGGGGGGCATGTACAACTTGGTTGATGAAAATGATGCGCAAGTTGGTCCTATTAAGTAAAAGAGACTACTTGATGAATGATATCCACCAAAAATGCAGTACGTGGTTAAACTGCTAATGCATCTCGCTTTGTCTATAGGTGGGTCCAAATCATAGACGCTCCTGGCCCGCATGAGTCTAAACTGTGAACTGCTCTACTTTAAAAAAAAAAAATCATTTGAACTACGTTTGACTTGATCTCCGTCGTGGAAGTACATAGGCAACTTAGAAATTTTATTGTCTAAGTTCAGTCATAACAAAATTTTTATATTTTCGTCCAAGATAGTGACTCTATTCAATGCGTGACATCAAGTTATTGTTGAGCATGGGTAAAAAGAGTTCCAATTATTGATCATGAATTTCTTTGAACTTCTCTTTCGTGTTCAGGGGTCCAGTTGCTAGGGGCAGTGGATTAATTGCTATGATTGTTGTATATCACCAGGCTCTTTAGTCCCGTAAACCGTTTGTGTTAAAATTATACCAAATTTGAAAAAGTCGCGCTGTAATAATTAATGTTGTTATTATTATTATTATTATTATTATTATTATATTAGTATTACTATTAAAATATCAAAAGGAAAAAAGAAACAAAAGAAACGAAAAAAAAAAAAACGAAACAGAAAGCAAAACGGAAAAAAAAACCAAACAAATAATACGCAAAAAAAAAAGGGAGAAAGTAAAAACAGAAAAGAAAGAATGAAATTATGAAAAGTTGGCTTTATTAAAAAAAAAGCCATTTGAAAATTGCAAGTGTGGTGGCGCGGAGGTAGTAGGTGGTGCCAACCTTGCTTTGTGTCACGTGAAGACCATTTGGAAATTGCAGAAGAAT